TATAGATCATCCCTTTGATTTGTAGATAAATGAAACCGAGCACATAGAAGAAAAATCAATGTGATGTCGAATGATCAATGTTTATAAACAATGTTACTTTGTGTCTATCTCCCGTCTGATCGATGTTTTAAACAATGTTACTTTGTGTCTATCTCCCAACTGATCGATGTTTATAAACAATGTTACTTTGTATCTCTCTATCTCCCATCTGATCGATGTTTATAAACAATGTTGCTTTGTATCTCTCTATCTCCCGACTGATCAGCATTTATAAACAATGTTACTTTGTATCTCTCTATCTCCCGTCTGATCAATGTTTGTAAACAATGTTACTTTGTATCTCTCTATCTCCCGTCTGATCAATGTTTATAAACAATGTTACTTTGTATCTCTCTATCTCCCATCTGATCAGTGTTTATAAACAATGTTACTTTGTATCTCTCTATCTCCCATCTGATCGATGTTTATAAACAATGTTACTTTGTATCTCTCTGTCTCCCATCTGATCAATGTTTATAAACAATGTTACTTTGTATCTCTCTATCTCCCGTCTGATCAATGTTTATAAACAATGTTACTTTGTATCTCTCTATCTCCCGTCTGATCAATGTTTATAAACAATGTTACTTTGTATCTCTCTATCTCCCATCTGATCAGTGTTTATAAACAATGTTACTTTGTATCTCTATCTCCCATCTGATCGATGTTTATAAACAATGTTACTTTGTATCTCTCTATCTCCCGACTGATCGATGTTTATAAACAATGTTACTTTGTATCTCTCTATCTCCCGTCTGATCGATGTTTATAAACAATGTTACTTTGTATCTCTCTATCTCCCGTCTGATCGATGTTTATAAACAATGTTACTTTGTATCTCTCTATCTCCCGTCTGATCGATGTTTATAAACAATGTTACTTTGTATCTCTCTATCTCCCGACTGATCGATGTTTAGAAACAATGTTACTTTGTATCTCTCTATCTCCCATCTGATCAATGTTTATAAACAATGTTGCTTTGTATCTCTCTATCTCCTGACTGATCAGCATTTATAAACAATGTTACTTTGTATCTCTCCATCTCCCGTCTGATCAATGTTTATAAACAATGTTACTTTGTATCTCTCTATCTCCCATCTGATCAATGTTTATAAACAATGTTGCTTTGTATCCCTCTATCTCCCGTCTGATTGATGTTTATAAGCAATGTTACTTTGTATCTCTCTCTCCTTTCTGTACAATGTTACTTTGTATCTCTCTATCTCCCAACTGATCAATGTTTATAAACAATGTTACTTTGTATCTCTATTTCCCGTCTGATCAATGTTTATAAACAATGTTACTTTGTATCTCTCTATCTCCCGTCTGATCGATGTTTATAAACAATGTTACTTTGTATCTCTCCATCTCCCGTCTGATCGATGTTTATAAACAATGTTACTTTGTATCTATCTCCCGTCTGATCGATGTTTATAAACAATGTTACTTTGTATCTCTCCATCTCCCGTCTGCTCGATGTTTATAAACAATGTTACTTTGTATCTCTCCATCTCCCGTCTGATCGATGTTTATGAACAATGTTACTTTGTATCTCTCCATCTCCCGTCTGATCGATGTTTATAAACAATGTTACTTTGTATCTCTCTACCTCCTGTCTGAACACTGTTTATGAACAATGTTACTTTGTATCTCTCCATCTCCCGTCTGCTCGATGTTTATAAACAATGTTACTTTGTATCTCTCCATCTCCCGTCTGATCGATGTTTATAAACAATGTTACTTTGTATCTCTCCATCTCCCGTCTGATCGATGTTTATAAACAATGTTACTTTGTATCTCTCCATCTCCCGTCTGATCGATGTTTATGAACAATGTTACTTTGTATCTCTCCATCTCCCGTCTGATCGATGTTTATGAACAATGTTACTTTGTATCTCTCTACCTCCTGTCTGAACACTGTTTATTAACAATGTGTCAGACGGTCTGTTTTTTGTCAGTGACATTTTCTGTCAGCCATTGATGAGGTAAGTGGCAGAGGGGCATACTACACATGCCACGTGTGGAATGATAAGGTGTATTAAACACATTTTGTACAATAAAGTTTTTTCAGACACGTGTAGTATGCCCAGTTTCCCCAACTAGTTATACATTATTGTTAGAGATGAGCGAAGTATTCAAAAATTCGATTCGGCTGATAATTTATTGTCAACGTTTTCCAGTTATGTCAAAATAGAAACATGTAAATGAAAGTCACTGGCCAACAACAGCTTCTAATAAACCTCTGTAAGGGCTGGTGATTGCCTTCATCCATTTGATTGCTTTGGTGATTGGAGGTCTGTTGATTGAGAATTTCTGTGTGTGACCAGAATGAACTAAACAGTTCTTTTCATCTCTACCCAAATGTTTCCTCCATGACAGCTGACGATGATGAGTTTGTGAACCCCCACGCTTTGGCGTCCTACATCTCCACCGCCGTCAAGAAGTTTCCTCTCCAAGTCCATGGATTCTGCCAGACTCAGGGCCCAGTGGAGCGCTGGGGTAAATACGGCATTCCCATCAGTGTCTTCCCGTATGATTTCTACCCCCCATTTGTATCTGGTGGGGGATTCCTTTTTTCTGCGGAGGTGGTCCCCTCGCTCCTTAAAGCCTCGTCCACCATCCCTGTCTTCCCCCTAGATGATGTGTACTTTGGTCTATTGGCTCTAGCTGCCAACATCTCCTTCCACCATGAGCTTCGCTTCCGTACCTTTGGGCTGAAGTCCTCAAAGATTTGCCGCTTCCAGGACGTCCTGGTGGTCCATGGTTTATCAAGTCATGGTCTACTAAAAATCTGGGATGCCCTTCCTTACACCACGCCGTGTCCGCCCAGCGAAAAAGAAATACAAGAGTATGATAGGATAGTCAAAAGTGTACAAGGAAGTGACAGCAGAAACACAGTCACCTTCTAGATCTGACTTCATAGACGTATGGCAGTGTTAAAGTGGACCTGTCATCAGATATATTTTTCATGTGACGTCCATACATACTAAGTAATGTGTAATGCTTGCACGCATTTATTACCTCTTACAGAGAGCAAAGTACTTTCCATGAGAATGCCTTTAACTTCAACTTTTCTCTCCAGAAGGATGAAGCCATCTTCATTCAGGCATCATCCAGAGTCACCATCTGTTTTCTGGAGTGAGTCGTCAGCTCACAGTTGACCCAGTCATATAAATTCTGGTTTGCTGTGTTCACAAACATCTGATACAGATCAACCCCTGCAGTTTCCCATCTTTTAACTTGCTACAAAGTCACTGTCATGGTCCGGCCACCTGAGATGTTGGATCTCTCACTATCTGATCTTATAGGCGATTGTAGCCGTATTAGTGCACTTGCGACAGAAACAATTGAGTAATTTCCGTGATACTTTTTTTTATTTGCACTAACATACAATTTTGAGGACAATTTTTATCTTATAGGAAAATCTTGCCTTCTTGCGTGTCTCTTGTTTCTGATGAACCTGGAACTCTCTGCTCCTTCTCTGCTCTGAACTTCCTGATTTAAGCCATGTCTTTGTACTGTTTGCCAGATTATTGTGCTCTCTTCAACTGATATCTTGCTCCTTTGCATATCTGCAGATATCCTTATCTTAACTACCACTCATTAATGACCTTTGGCTTGTTCCTCAACTACTTTTCTGCTTGAATCCTACTTGCAAGGACTTGTTACCAACTTTGGCATGTTTACTGACTACGCTTCCTCTTAAACCCAACCTACAACAGCTTTTTACTAACCTTTGGCTTGTTCACTATGCTTCTGCTTGATCCCAACCTCCACGCACTCATTACTAAACTTTGGTTTGTTCCTCAAATACACTTCGGCTTGATCCCAACCTCCACGCACTCGTTACTGACCTTTGGCTTGTTACTCACCTACGCTTCTGCTTGTTCCCAACCTCCAACGACTTGTTACTGACCTTTGGCTTGTTCCTTGACTACGTTTCTGCTTGTTCCCAACCTGCAAACACTCATTACTGAAGTTTGGTTTGTTCCTCAAATACGCTTCTGCTTGATCCCAACCTCCAACGACTTGTTACTGACCTTTGGCTTGTTCCTTGAATACGTTTCTGCTTGTTCCCAACCTGCAACCACTCGTTACTGACCTTTGCCTTGTTCCTTGACTACGTTTCTGCTTGTTCCCAACCTCCAAACACTCATTACTGAACTTTGGTTTGTTCCTCAAATATGCTTTTGCTTGTTCCCAACCTCCAACGACTTGGTACTGACCTTTGGCTTGTTCCTTGACTACACTTTTGCTTGATCCCAACCTGCAATGAATTGCTACTGCTCTTTGGCTTGTTTACTGACTATACTTCTGTTTGATCCCTACCTTTTATATCTGCTACTGGTCGGCAGCAAACTCACTTACTGGTGGGGCAATCCTGAGAACCGCGACCTGGTACTAACATGAAGCAAAACCCAACTCCACCATCACTGGGGAGCACCTGTTAGTGCTTAGACGCCACACCTCAGGTGAGCCAGGGTGACCTGCTTGTACAGTATACCTATCCTGCAGGTTGGTGGGGTCCGTCTACTGCTATAACTACTGGTCTCCAAACTTGACTCCTGGTACAGGGTAATGAATATAGTTAATATATTTTATTTATTTTTGAATTTGAATTGTATTTATTTTTATTTTGCTTTATCAATACTATGTGGAGGTCTATGTATAAAACATTCAGTTCCATTGTAGGAATATATTTTATGTCCTTATATTGTGTTACAAAATGTAAAGAAAACATACATGATTTACCGGCACAAGTTGTGAGAATGAGTTCACATTAAATTGAAAGTTCAATTTCTTAATAAAAATTATTCTTCACTCACGGATCAGTATTATGTCTGGGCCATCAACTATAAAGAGCGACGGATATATATTTGATCAATATATTATTTCTTCTTCGCATTTCTGAAGAGTTTATCTTGACTCCATGAACTACATTGCTAATATACACAGGGGCGGACTGACAACTCATGGGGCCCTCGGGCAATAGGGGATCATGTGTCAAATTCAAAATAGCCTATGAAAAAGGTACCAGGGGCATCTCATGGGGCCCCCTACTGACTCCGGGCCCTCGGGCAATGCCCGAGTTTCCAAATGGTTAGTCTGCCCCTGAATATACAATATACTGTATGGCAATTCAGCTGTGGGTGTAATCTGGGAACCTGAAATTCAAGTCTGTGTTCACAGCATAGCAGTAACCCAGAAGCCCTGGAATACTTCCAACTGAGGTGTAAATACTTAAACTAGATGACCCAAACTATGACAACCAATATAGGTGCCCTGGTACACAAATCCAGCTCCATAAAAACATGGTTTGACCAGATTGGTGTGGAGGAACTTGAGTGTCCTGTACGGAGCCCTGACCTCAACCTCACTGAACACCTTCCAGATCAATTGTGAGTCGGGTCTTCCCATCCAACATCAGTGCCTGACCGCAAAAAATGGGCAAAAATCCTCACAGACAGCCTCCAAAATCTTGCGAAAAGGCATCCCAGAAGAGTGGAGGTTGTTATGGCCACAAAGAGTGGCAAATCCTAGTAATAGCCATGCGGGGAGGGGGAAACTCCATAATAATGATCATGGTTTTGGCAGGGGATGAGCAGCAAGCTCATATAGGTGCCTTGGTACACAACGCCAGTTACATAAATACATGGTTTGGAAAGTCTGGTGTGGAGGAACTTGAGTGTCCTATACAGAGCTCTGACCCCAACCCTACTGAACACCTTTCAGATCCATTGTGAGTCAGGTCTTCCATCCAACATCAGTACCTGATCGCAAAAATGGACAGAAATTTCCACAGGCACCCTCCGAAATCTTACAGAAAGGGATCCTAGAAGAGTGGAGGTTGGTATAGCCACAAAGAGGGGCAAATCCTAGTAATAGCAATGCGGGGAGGGGGAAACTCCATAATAATGATCATGGTTTTGGCAGGGGATGAGCAGCAAGCTCATATAGGTGCCTTGGTACACAACACCAGTTACATAAATACATGGTTTGGAAAGTCTGGTGTGGAGGAACTTGAGTGTCCTATACAGAGCTCTGACCCCAACCCTACTAAACACCTTTCAGATCCATTGTGAGTCAGGTCTTCCATCCAACATCAGTACCTGATCCCAAAAATGGACAGAAATCTCCACAGACACCCTCCGAAATCTTACAGAAAGGCATCCTAGAAGAGTGGAGGTTGGTATAGCCACAAAGAGGGGCAAATCCATATTACTGACCATGGGAGAGGGTGGAAAACTCCATATTAACCACTTGCCGTCTGCCTGCTGTTTATTGGCACTCCAGGGGCGGGTTGCCGTTCATAAATGGCACCGCATTTTCTAGCTGTGCGCACTCCCTGGGAGCACGCAGCACCGCGATCCGGTGCACGCTGTGTCCTCCGGACACAATGGAACACCGATCGTCGTATCAATTGTGAGCCAGGTCTTCCCATTCAGCATAAGTACCTGACCCCAAAAATGGGCACAATTTGCCACAGACACCCTCCCTGGGAGAGCGCAGCACCGCAATCCGGTGCCCGCTGTGTCCTCCGGACACAGTGGAACACCGATCGTCCTACGGGACCTCTGTGCGTGGTCCCAATCATGTGATCACTGATTGGCCAATCAGTGATCACATGCAGAGTAGTAAGCAAGATGTCACTTCTGACATCATTGCTTACTACCTGTGAAATCTGTGAATGATCACAGAGGTCTCATGGTACAGGGCTATTCACAACAGCCTTGTACCATGTGACAAGCTGTGACCAATCACAGCTCACTCAGTAGTTCTCAATGGCTGCAAGAATGCAGCCAGAGAGGAGAAATGATTGCTTTTACATCCTTTATGGGTGTAAAGGCAATCAGTGTAAAAAAAAAATAAAATCTTCATCACCCCCCACAAGTAGTACAGTGTCACCATGGTGACACTGTACTGCTAGGGTGACAGTATGTAAAAAAAAAAAAACACATAAATAATAATTTAAAAAAATAAAATAAAAATGTAAAAAAAGTTTTTAAAAATTATAATTTTTGGTTATAAACTAATTTGGGTTTTTTTTTTTTGCTAAAAAGATAACTGAATCAATTTTGGCCAAGATTTATGATGAAATATTATTTATTTACAAACTTTTATAAGAAAAACACTTTTTTTTTCAATATTTTTGGACATTTTCATTTATATAGCAAACAAAAATAAAAATCCCAGTGGTGATACCACCAAAATAAATCTTTATCTGTCTCAAAAAAATGCAAAAAAATTCCATATGGGTACAGTGTTGCATGACCGCGCAATTGTCATTCAAAGTGTGATAGCACTGAAAGCTGAAAATTGGCCTGGACTGGAAGGGGGGAAAGTGTCTGGACAGGAAGGGGGTAAAAAGTGTCCGGACATGAAGTGGTTAAAGGTCATGGGTGGAGGTTTGGCCAACTCCATATTAATGGTCATGATTTTGGCATGGGATGCCCAACAAGCTCATGTAGGTACGATGGCCAGGTGTCTACAAGTTGTGGATGGGTTAATAGAAACCTAGATAGTGCTCTGAAAATGAGACCATGCTTTCTTTACACAAATACAAATTTGGCAAACAATGTTTTCAAAGCTCGAGGGATAGTTAGAGCAAACAATATGTTGCTGACTTTGACAGATTGCCAAAGAAAACCAACAAACTTCTCACGGTTAGGTTTTTAAAAGTTTGCTTAGAATAGAAAAGTTACAAAGTAAAGGTGAAGATTAGAAAGTAGAGAGATTAACATGAAACAGAGGTCCTCAGACAAGGTAAGTGTACAAAGGACCTAAACTTTTGTCAAAATGTAAGGCCTTTAAGCTTCAGTCTTAGACAGTTGCAATTTAGGACCAACTAAGCATTAACATTTTACATATCAACTCATTCACTGAAGAATTTGCACAAGCAACGTATTAGCTATTACAAGAGCAGGGCAGCCATCAGAAAATTTGGGGCCACTTACACAGCTTTAAGTGGGTGCACTGAATGACTTGGTGGGATGGCCAATGGGTAGGCCCTGGAGAATGTTGGTGGCCAGGCTCCCCCCCCCCCCCTCCTGGGCCTGGCCACCAACATTCCCCAGGTCCTACCCATTGGCCATCCCACCAAGTTAATCAGTGCACCCAGTTTTATTTTATCCCTCTTACAAATTAATATTTCCTCCATCGCAGGTCCTCTTCCTCTAGTCCCATCTTGTCCAGTTCCATCTCCTCCATTCCATGTCCTCTTCCTCCTCCAGTTCCATCTGCCCCATCCCATGTTCTCCTCTTTCAGTTTCTTCTCCCCATCCCATGTCCTCCTCTTCCTCCATCCTATGTCCTCCTCCTCCTCCAGTCACATCTCCTTCATCCCATGTCCTACTCCTCCTCCAGTCCCATCTCCTCCATCCAATGTCCTCCTCCTCCTTCAAACTCATCTCCATACAATGTCCTCCTCCATCCTATGTCCTCCTCCTCCATCCCATGTCCTCCTATCCCTCCAGTCCCAACCCCCATCCCATGTCCTCCTCCTCTAGTCCCTTCTCCTCTATCCCATGTCCTCCTCCTCAAGTCCTATCCTCCTTATCCCCTGTCCTCGTCTTCCAGTTTCATCTCCTCCATCCCATGTACTCCTCTTCTAATCTCATCTCCCCCATTCCATATCTTCCTCTTCCAGTCTCATCTCCCCATCACATGTCCTCGTCCCGGGCCTCCCCCATCACATGTCTTCCTCCATTCCATGCCCTCTTTCTCCTTTATCCCATGTTGTCCTTCTCCAGTCTCATCTCCCCACTTTGTAGGTCCTCTCTTGCAGTGTCCTTCCTCTGTAGTCCTTCTGTCCTTCCTGCACCCTCAGTACAGCCCTGATTCAGGTGATATACCTTAGTGTATGGTACCTTCTTGATCCCAGAGCTCACCTTGCTCTCTCCAGGCACACAGCTCCAATCGATAACACTTCTATATTCAAACGTCCGTCTGCAAATCTCTTACCCTGCTGGAGCCTATTGTCCTGACTCATCAAAGGGAGCTGGTCCAGATGATACAGTGTGCGCCCATGATTGGACAGATTGCTGCCGGGGTGAAGAATTGCGGTGGGGGGAGATGTTGGAGAGGGCAAGGAGAGGGACAGAGTGGTGGGAAAAGGTGCAGAAGCTGAAAGAGAGCAGCCAGGGCTGCTGCTGTACTTGCAGCTGCCCTTTTGCCCTGAGTTAAAAACGGCCCTGGTTGGGGCACATAGGGGTTGCACAGGCTGTGTGGTGGCCCCTAGCCCCTTCACTTCCTTATGCTGGTGGTGGGTGCTACTGAAATTTGGGGCAGTGCTACTGGAATCGGGGGGGGGGGGGCACCCCAGCAACCCCCTAGATCTGACCCTGTTACAAGGGTACTTGTATACATAGGTGTATATGCTGCCCCCAGTGAAGACTGTCTGAAGGTGGTAAGAGAAAACAGACAAGAAAATGTGACCTCCAAAATTTTAAGGGGGGGAGGTGACACAGTAAATAATTGCCATGTTTCTGATTCTTCAGCATTTCTGCTCTGGAACATGTGAGGTGCAGAATTTCCATCACAAAATAGGGAAGTGACAACATCATTCCTCGCTGCAGCCAGGAAGAGTGACAGCTACCCATCACCACGCTGTTATAGCTGCAAAGGGCAGGGCCAACTCAATATTGAACCCTACGGACTAAGACTGGGGGGCCATTAAAGGTCATGTGTGTGGAAAGGGCGGGGCCAACTCAATATTGAACCCTACGGACTAGAACTGGGAGGCCATTAAAGGTCATGTGCGTGCAAAGGGCGGGGCCAACTCAATATTGAACCCTACGGACTAAGACTGTGAGGCCATTAAAGGTCATGTGCGTGGAAAGGGCGGGGCCAACTCAATATTGAACCCTACGGACTAAGACTGGGAGGCCATTAAAGGTCATGTGCGTGGAAAGGGCGGGGCCAACTCAATATTGAACCCTACGGACTAAGACTGGGAGGCCATTAAAGGTCATATGCGTGGAAAGGACGGGGCCAACTCAATATTGAACCCTACGGACTAAG